GTGGCCACCCCTGCCCTTTCCGTTGCCCTCTTTCGTATTTCGGAAACCAAGATCTGACCCCGAAAAGAGTTATTTTCCGTGTCACACATTAGTTGGCATTTTTTATTCACTTTGTATACATGTCCATCAAGTAAAATATGTCCTGATGGTTGCTAGAGCGAGTTTCTTAGAATCGTAGCGCTGATTAGAGGGAGTGATGGAGAAGGAGAGGGTGGTCAAAGGCTGGAATCTATCCATCCATTCATTCACTCGTTCGCCCATTTCGTATCCCGCTCCATTCGCCACAAGCGGGGCTCAGGGTGGCTTCCACCAAGCGGACAGACAACAAATTTCAACATTCTGCAGTTTTAGAAGAAGAGGAGAGGAGACTGGATTTATACCCTGCCCTTCGCTACCCAAGGGAGTCTCACAGTGGCTTACAAACTCCTTTCCCTTCCCCTCCCCACAACAGACACCCTGTGAGCAATGTTCCCTCTAAGCTGTGGAGTCTCGTGAGCAAAAATTCTACTTTGTGAGCTACTGGCATTAAAGTTGTGAGCGAGCGATTTGGCTACAGCATAAATGAGTTTGCTCTGGAGCCCTCCTTCCTGAGCTAAGACAAAAATGTGTGAGCCAGGGGCTAAGAAACTGAGCTAGCTCACACTAACTCAGCTTAGAGGGAACACTGCCTGTGAGGTAGGCGGGGCGGAGAGAGCTCTGAGAGAACAGCTCTAACAGACCTGTGGCTTGCCCAAGGTCATCCGGCAGCTGCAAGTGGAGGAGTGGGGAAATCAAACCCGGTTCTCCCAGATTAGAGTCCGCGCACTTAACCACTACGCCAGACTGGCTTTAAATCTACATTACATCAGTTAAAGCCTAAAATGTCACTTCTATATTAGACGGCGCCTCTAATCTCCGTGTGCCAAGGCTGTGCGTGTCAGAATGCCACTTGCTTTGGGTTCACCGTGGAGGCAAGGGGCCCCCTTTGTGCGATGGTTGTTGATTTCTCAGAAACAAGCGGTTCCCCGTTGCAGAAAATGGAACGGCTGAACTAGACGGGTGCCAAAGGTCACAGTCTGCCTCGGGTGCAAGAAGCACCTTGGGCCAGCCCCGGAGGGGTCACCACAGCCAGTTGGTTTGGACTGGTGGGTCACCATACCAAAAAGGTTGGCAACCACTGGGATGGAGGACAGAGAAGGGCCGTACTGGGGAACCAATAACTGGAGGACTCTGGAGGCCAAAAAACACTGGTTGGGTGTTCTGGGTCCCCGGAGTTTCCTGGATAGCTTTGTCAGGGGTTTCTCCGTGAGAAGAGGTGATCTCTGAAAGGCCACCAGCCGCTGCTCATCCCAGGGACTCCACTCCTGTACGATTCTTCGTGCTCTCTGCAGAGCGCCAGTTTCTCCAGAGGATCACTCTGGAAGAAAGGATCTCCGCTTCTACCGTCTTCAAGTCGTCGGGTGGCAGCGGAAGCCATTTTATCGGCACGATTTTTGTCTTCACATGGGAAGCCGGGTCGCATCTCAGTGGGTCAGCTTTGGGGCAGGGTCTCTCGCTACTAACCCCTCCCCCTTGAAGTGGGGCATCATTCTCTCTTAGGAGCATTTAAACCCACCCAGGACTTCATTTCGAATTTCACTCTGCACTATTCAGAGCGGGGCCATCGACTCGAATGGTTGGCAAGGCTCCTTCTCATGTGGGAGGAGGGGGTGAGTGGTGATAGCACTCACTAGCTCTCACAAAATACTCATCATCCAACCCCAACACGTCCCCTTAATTCCACACCGTGCCTCCCAAAATCTCTTCAACAACAGCGCCCTATGGAATTTCAGCTCGGCTCCGACACCCTTCCTGCATGACCCCCACCTTCCAAAATCCTCTCATATCCCCCCCCCCAAAAAACCCCTGTTCACCCTCTTTTCATTCCAATTCTTGCCAGCCAAGACACTGACAGAACAGGGCTGCAGCCTGGGCCACCGGGCATGCTATGTATCCTCTGTCTGTTGTACATATTATCTGGCTCTTACAACATTGTCTCCTACTTCTGTAATTCTATTTTCTGCATCACTTGACGTTTCATGTCTGATATGCTTTTGTACCGTTGATCATTCATATAACCTAATTTTTGTAACTGCGCTGCCGATCAGAAGTCTTGTGCCATTAGAGTACATGGTTTCATGCCACGGACCCTGCCTTGAGTCTTGGCGAGAGGGGCCCATGACAAATAAATTAAAAAAATACATCTCTGCCATCCAAGTTGGGAGACAGGCGACCCTTGCCCCGCACACGCTGCTCCCCTTTCCTCCGCATTACAAATGCAGTCAGACTGCAAACCTCACACTCCTTGCTTAGGGATGCCAGCCTCCAGGGGGGAATTAAAAAAATACATCTCTGCCATCCAAGTTGGGAGACAGGCGACCCTTGCCCCGCACACGCTGCTCCCCTTTCCTCCGCATTACAAATGCAGTCAGACTGCAAACCTCACCCTCCTTGCTTAGGGATGCCAGCCTCCAGGGGGGGGCCACCTGGGGATCCCCCGGAATGACAGCGCATCTCCGGACGACTGAGATCAGTTCCCCTGGAGGAAACGGATGCTTTGGAGGGTGGACTCCATGGCACTGTGTCCAGTGTTCCCTCTAAGCTGAGTCAGTGTGAGCTAGCTCACAGGTTTTTAGCCTCTGGCTCACACATTTTTGTCTGAGCTCAGGAAGGGATGGCTCTAGAGCAAACTAAATTATGTAGTAGCCAAATCGCTTGCTCACAACTTTAATGCCGGTAGCTCAGAAAGTAGAATTTTTGCTCACAAGACTTCCACAGCTTAGAGGGAGCATTGACTGTGTCCCACTGAAGTCCCTGTCTTTCTCCACCCCGAAATCTCCCGGGGTTCCCCAGCCTGGCTCTGGCAACACGAACTCCCCCTACCCTCCGCCAGTTGTGGGGGGAGGGAATGTGGCAACCCCACCCTTAACACTCAACACTTCCAGTTCCGATGGGGAGGGAGACTGACAGCAGCAGACGATGGCAGTCACTGACAGGACGGGCCCCGAAGAACATTCACCGATCTGTGTGCCGCCTTTGGGACCTGTGCTGCCCCAGCCAGCGTTTAAACTGTAGTGAAGTAGAACTGCCATATATCTTTAAGAGCAGTGGTTCCTGGGAATTGAAGTCTTCAGTTAGAACTACCATATATCTTTAAGAGCAGTGGTTCCTGGGAATTGAAGTCTTTAGTTAGGCATCCCACAGCATCCAACACACGGAGGCGAAGATTAGCGTTTTACAAGCTCTCTTCCTGTGGGCCTTTGTTCTCTCAAAACGGCAAGGAGGTGGGACGCGCAATCCTTTCCGCCATGAGCCAGTGAACGGAGTTAGATTACAAAAGATGTGAGAATTCTTCTGAATGCATGTGGAACTTAATAAAAAATGATTTAATTCCACTTTGACTCTGGCCGTGCGTTGAATCTGTCCAGAAGACGCTGTTGACTCAGCGTCA